CAAGTAAATGTTGACATAAGAAACGTCTAAGAGATTTTTTAATGGGTTTATTTGAGCCAGGCTGATGACATTTGCCAGGGAGCAAGGGCAAATGATCCCTCAAATCCAATTTTTAAAAAAGACACAACAACATCAGGAATAAGAAAGCAACATAATTACAGATGTGAAAGTGAGTTTTAGAATGATAAGAGAACATTATTTTTTCTGATTATTTTTATTGTACAGTGTAGCATATATAGAAGGGTGCTTAAAACAGAAATATGCTTCTCAATGAATTTTTCCAAAGCAAGTATCTATGTAGCCTTCATCTAAGTTAAGCAATAGAACATTACCAACCCCTTAGACATCTCCCCCTAATCACTTTTCCCTTCCTCCTCCCCAAAAGTAGCCACTACTCTTTGCTTATAGAAATGAAAGACAATGAATTTTTTTACGTTGCCTTATTTTGTTCAGTACTATTTTGGAGAGATTCAAGCATTATTTTTAAATATATATTATTATTATTGATTAGGGAGAGGGAGAGAGAAATAGAAACATCAGTAATGAGAGAGAATCATTGATTTACTGCCTCCTGCATGCCTTCTATTCGGATCAATCCCACACCCAGGCTTGTGCTCTGATCTGGAATGGAAACCGTGACTTCCTGGTTCATAGGTTGATGCTCAACCATTGAGCCACATTGGCTGTGCTCAAGCATCTTTATTAATGTATCAGTCGTTAGTTCATTGTCATTGCATGTAACTTACTGAATAGATGTGCTTTAATTTAATAATTCAGCCTATGTTGATGTTCATTTAGTTTGTGTTTTTATTTAATGAATATTCTTATTCATACTCTTAGTATACTAATTTCTATTAGAAAGAGTATAATTTGGGGGCCATGGGCGTTACATGTATTATTTAGTAAATACTGCCAAATAGGTGTCCAAAGTGGTTGTACTAAGTGGTTGCAATATATGAGCATTCCCCTGCATTGCTTTCTGTGAAAACTGCTCTTTTCAGTTTGCTAGCTAATCTGAGGAGTTTGTAGTTGTTTCTCATTGTAGTTTCAATTTGTATTTTTCTAATGCCTGAAGAGGTTTAGCATCTTTTTATAAGTTTTTGTTTTATGAAGTGCCTGTGTAGTCTTTTTCCATTTTCTTTTAACAAAAGTTCATTCTAGAAGTTCTCTATATAGTTTGACTATGAGCCCAGTGTGCATTTTATGTGCTGTAAATATTTTTCTCACTGTATGGCTTTGCTGTTTCCTCTCAATGGTGTCTCTGATGAACAAAAATTCTTAATTTTATTAGAGCAGTTTAATCAATATTTTTATCTTGTGTCTTATTTAAATTTCATACTCTCAAGTTAATGAAGATATTTTTCTCTATCTGCCACAACTTTTCTTGTTTTTTATTTACATTTGGATCTGCAATCCACTTGGAAGTGATTATTTATGTATGGCATAAGATAAAGATCAAATTTAATATTTTTGTCCATATGGATGTGGATATGTGGTTGACCTAAGGCCAGTCATTTGAAAATACCATCCTTTCTTCAGTTGTCTGCAATCCAATCTTCCACATATCAAGTGTCTATATAGGCATGGGTCTTTTCCTTTTGCATTGATTTGTTGGTATAAGTCCTACACCTATATCACATTGTATTAATTAATGTAGTTTGTAATGAGTTTTAACACTTGTTTTATTTCTTCCTTAAGTATGTTGTAGAATTTGACAATGTGGTGATCTGGGCCTGGTATTTAATTTTTGAGGAGGTTTTCAATTATGGATTTAATGATTTTAACAATCAAAGACCCATTCAAATTTTCTTTTACTCTGGAGTCAGTTTTTATAAATTGTATTTTTCTAAGATTTTTTTATTGCATTTAAAGTTTCAAAGTTATTGATGTACAGTTATTCATAAATAATACCCTTTTATCTTTTAATGTCTATAGTGGTGTTGTCCTTTTATCCATCTCTGGTTATATGCTCTCATTCTCTCTCTCTCTCTTTCAGCATTTAATCAGTATTGCCAGGGTTTATTAGCATTATTATTAAATGTTTTCAAAGAAACAACTTTTGTTTTAGAATTTAAAATTTGTATATCTTTTTGATGATTTGAGCCTTTTGTTGTTAATCCTCACCTGAGGATATTTCTTCCATGGCTCTTCAGAGAGAGTATAAGGGAGTGAGAGAGGAAGAGAGAGAGAAACATCGATGTGAGAGGGACACATTGACTGGTTGCCTCCAGCACACAACAAGGGGTGGGAGCAGACTCTCAACCCTTCAGTGCACAGGCCGACGCTTTAACCATTGAGCAACAATGACCCGGGCAATTTGAGCGGTTTAACCTTATAAAATATGTATGCCTACTAATAATTTTATTATAAATTCTACTTTGTATGATATTAATACATCTATACCAGCTTTTTGTTTATTTGTTTTTAGTGTTTATATGGTATACTTTTTCCACACTTGAACATAAACCTTGCTATATTCTTACATTTTAGATATATATCTCTTCTAAGTAGCCTATATTTTAATACAGTCTGACATATTTGCTTCTAACTTGAGAGATTTTTTTTTATTCTTTTACTTTCAACCTACTTGTACATTTGAATCTAAAGTGTCTCCTATAGACAACACATAGTACGAACATTTTTTATTAATTCAATCTGAAAATCCCAATAAGAGAATATTATTACAAATTTATGTCAATATATTTGAAAATCTAAATAAAGTGGATGCTTTTCTATAAGAAATAAATGCACCCCTATGTTCACAGCAGTGCAATTTACAATAGCTAAGATTTGGAAACAGCCTAAGTGCCCATCAACAGATGAGTGGATTAAAAAACTGTGATACATTTATACAATGGAATACTAGGCAGCTGCAAAAAAAAGAAAGAACTCTTACCATTTGCAACAGCATGGATGGACCTGGAGAGCATTATACTAAGTGAAATAAGCCAGTCAGAGAAAGATAAATACCACATGATCTCACTCATACATGGAATCTAACAAACAACATAAACTGATGAACAAAAATAGATGCAGAGACATAGAAGCATCTGATTTCTTAGGATATATTCCTAGAAGTGGGATCACCGGGTCACACGGGCGTTCCATGACTTTCTGTAGCCCTTTTAACTGGTGCCAACAGATGTCCAGACCTGTGCTAAGCCCCGCCTAGCCGTGTGCATTCGTTTACTCTCCCAGTGACTGGTGAATGCATGCATTTACTAGACCTACTCAGTATATATTTAAAATTACAGTAATACATATAGAAAACTTCTTTGAAATTAAACTTTTCATACAGACTGAATTTTAATGACACAAATATGTCTATATAAATAAAACCAGGTAAACTAATTTGTCAACTTTTTAAAAAATATTTTTATTGATTTCAGAGAGAGGAAGGGAGAGGGAGAGATTGAAACATCAATGATGAGAGAGAATCATTGATTGGCTGCCTCCTGCACGCCCTCTACTGGGGATCGAGCCCGAAACCCAGGCATGTGCCCTTGACTGGAATCCGCCCCGAGTCCGCAGGCTGATGTTCTGTCCATTGAGCTAAACCAGATAGGGCTAATTTGTCAACTTTTTAACAACACATTTGGAAAACCTACTTTATTATATAACAGACTTTCAGCTTTAACAGACCCCCCCTCACTTGAATTAATCAATTATATCGAGGTTTTACTGTATTTCCTCTACATTAGCTGCAAACAGAAAATAAAACTTTTTAAGTATACCATTTATAATAGAATACTTTGTTTATTTTAAATAAGATACCTAGAAATAGCCTAACAAAGATGTTTTTGGTGAAATTATAAAATATTATTAAAAAGCATGAAATAGGACCTAAATAAATGGTGACATGGTCATATTCCTGGCTAAGAGACAATATCACAAAGATGTCAAATTCCCCAACTTAATCTATATTTTAATGCAATTTCAGTGAAATGCTCAACAGGATTATTCATGGAACTTGATAAGCTGACCATACCATGTCCGTGGAATAGAAAAGGAAAATGAATAGCCAAGACAGTTTTCAAGAACAACAAGCTAGAGTCACTCTCCGAGACAGCAAGCCTTAACTATAAAGTCATAGTGGTCAAGACAATGTGGTCTACTAGGAATAGAATGAAATGGCTAGTGTGAGACCCACACATGTATGGGAAAAGTTATATCAGAAAAGATATTTCAAATCAGTAGATGAAGATGGACTATTCAATAAATTGTATTAAGAAAATTGGTTATCTATACAGAAAAAGAGAAAGCATATTTCTACCTCATATGGAGTACAAAAATATATTTCAGATTCATGGGTTATTATGAAAAACAAAATTTTACAACTTTTAGAACAGAGGAGAATTTTTTATGACCCATAATATAGAAGAATATTTTAAACAAGATGCAAAAAAAACCATAGAGGAAAACTTTATAAAATTATTAAAAATAAAAAATCAGAAAAAAATTATAAATTTGGCCACATTGAAATTTAAAACTTAGATTCATCAAAACATACCATAAATAAAGTTAAAGACAAGCTAGCCACAGACTGGAAGAAGGTCTTGTGATGCATATAACTGGAAAAGATTAATATGAAAAATATAGAAAAAATCTTAAAAACAAACACAACAAATAGCCCATGAGGCAAGAATATGAACATGCAAGTCAACAGAAGATGAAATAAAAATCTCAACACGTTAGTCATATTAAAACAGCAGTGAAATATTTTATACCCATCACATGAGCAACATTTTTTTAATTCACTAATAGAATTGAAAAATCTAAACACATAGAAACAGGGAATGCAAAAGTGGTTTCCAGGAGAGGAATAGAAAGAAGTTGGTAAAAGGGTACAAACCTTCAATTTTAAGGTGAATAAGGTCTGAGGATCTGATGTGACACATGGTGACTATAGTGACAATACTCTGTTGCAAGGGGCCGGGGAAGGGGCCAGAGATGTGGGCTTGAATCCATGGGTGTTGGGTTCTCTCGCCTCTCTGCCCCAGGTGTGCCACCGGGGAGGCATGGCAGGACATCATGCTGGCCTGCATGCCAGGGAAGAAGTGCGCCCCGGAGTCTGAACCCCACAACAGCACGGAAGGGGAGGCGCCCTGTGGCAGCAGCTTCGCCGTCTTCTACTTCATCAGCTTCTACATGCTCTGTGCCTTCCTGGTAAGCTGGAGTTGGACTAAATAGCCACAGGGAATGAGCGAGCAGGTCGGGGCAGCTTGACCCTGCCATCTCCGCAGCTCATGGCAAAGGCGACCCCAGCAGAAGAGCTGCCGCGGAAAGATTGAGTTAGTAGGAATGTCCAACCACACTGAGACAAGGACAGAAAGCCTGAGCCAGAGAGACCGCAGCCAGCATCTCTCTTGTCCATTCTTGGCTCTTGTCATGGTGGCATTGTCCCAGAGAACAGAGGAGATGCCTGTGGAGGCCTAGAAGCAACTTAGACATTTTTGACCCTTTGATTGGAGAATGAGGGAAAGGTGGTAGATAAAGTTGCCCTCTCTTCTTGACAGCCTTGCCCAGCAGCCTAGGAGAGAAGCTGTCCAGCCCACGTGTGGGTTCAGCACACATAATTCTGAGGGGAGCTGTGTTATGATCATATCCAAGAGGCCCAAGTTTCAGGGACTGGTGGTGTAAATGGTGACATATGGCTGGTCTTTAGAAATGTCAGCTTCTGCCATGCTGGCAAAGTGGATTCAAGTGGCAAGTGTGTAAGAAGGTCCTCTTAGGTAACTCATCATACTCTCTGTTCTCTGCAGATTATCAACCTCTTCGTAGCTGTCATCATGGACAACTTTGACTACCTGACAAGGGACTGGTCAATCCTTGGTCCCCACCATTTGGACGAATTTAAAAGAATCTGGGCAGAGTATGACCCTGAAGCCAAGTAAGTTCCCAGGCGGAAATTCTGATTCCCAAAGCCAAGAGGGAGGATGGCACAACCATACCTATAGAAGAGGGTCTAGATGGGTTAGCGTGGGGTGGGTCCACTGGAAGCACTGAATTGTACCAGACCCCAGGGTCCAGGGTCAAGGACCAGCAGTAGGAAACCAGGCACTTTGATTAAGTCATGAACATATCTGCAATTTGCCGTTGAATGGAAAGATAGAATATCCTAGTGTTTGGAATAACTGGTAGATACTCAAATTAGGATGAATAGGACCAGGTACATCTCAACTCCTTTCCTGCCTCAAGTCCAAGGATACCCTTTTCAATCAATCACATTTGGTTAACACTCAATAAATACCTTTTGGTCAGGTGGTTAGTTGACTGAAGCAGCAAGTACATGTTGAGAATTTCATTGCACTACTAAATCCTTCCATTTTGAACATACACCACTGGATGGCTCACTAAAACCTAAACATGTATATATTGGTTTTGGAGTTTTATCATGCAATTCTGCAGCTCTGCACTGAGTTTGACCAATAGGACTCCAGCTATGGAGAGTCCCTCCTATAGGTGGGCCCCCACCTCTCAGGAACATGAGTCCTGGCCCACTGGCTAAGACCATGGCTCCTGACTGGCCTTTCCCTCCTCTTCTTCCTCTTCTAGGGGTCGTATCAAACACCTGGATGTGGTGACCCTGCTCCGGCGGATTCAGCCCCCACTGGGTTTTGGGAAGCTGTGCCCTCACCGTGTGGCTTGCAAAGTAAGAGACAACCTGGGTTCATGGGGAAAAAAGAGAAAATATGGGAGGCAAGATGCCTGTTTGTCTTGTAACCTTGGTCAGGCCAGTGCTTTAAGGGAGTGAAGACAGTATTTTATGTGCCTAAAGAAATGAGCCTGAGCCAGGTTATATTTTAAGGTTCCTTCCAGCAATAAGTTCTCAGCCTCTATAAAGGAAAAGCGAAGTGAATGCCTCATGTCCCAGTGAGCCTTGTGCCCAGTCCTGAGTAAAGGCCCTTGTTCAGAGCACGCTGTGCCACCTAGGCAACCTCACAGACTTCCATCTAGGATGGTGGATTAGGGTGCTCTCCTAGGATCACAGGGCCAATAAAAGGTCCATGCATCAGCTTCAGGGATCCACGAAGCCCTAAAATTGTATATGAAGTCACTGAGACACTCACAAATTGTACCAGGGAGAGAATTATCGTGCTCATCAGATTTCCAAGTGAGTCCACGATGTTTAGGACAGACATCCTAGGTTCTGTTAGACCCGACTTCTTGCCTATGTGGCCCTTGCATGACCCTGAGAGTGAGCGCTCCCTTAAGTCCGTGCCCTCTCTTGCCTCTGTAATCCCAACCATGTAGCCCAGCACTTGCTGAAGAGTCTTGTTTCCACTCTCTCCCCTCTTTCTTTAACTCTCATGATCACCCTTCTGAATTCCGTGTTGGAATAGTGACAGGTTGAAAGGGGGTTGGGGGGCAGTGACGTCAGAGAACTGTACAGAGGAAGAAACACAAGTAGAAAAATTCGGCTCTGTGGATAGCCCACTCATGGAAAATGGAAAATTGACAGAATATAGAACCTTCTACTTGTGCTCTGTCTTACTCAGTTTTTCCTCACTTGTACCTCCACTTCATTCCAAAAAAATAAAAAGATTTTAGACGGTTTCCCAGGGTGTAAAAGATACGAGAAACAAAGAGCACAAATTAACGTCAGGGAAAGCACAGTGGGAAACAGGAGTGGCGATGAGGGAGGCTGCAGTCCCATCGGGGCCCCCGGATGGGCCTGCACAGGCTGCGACTGAGCCGGCACTTCCCAGAGGCTGCTGGGAAAGTCACTCGGAGCAATTACAACCCTTCTTGGCACCACGATTGACAGGAGACACCATGTGATCTAACGGATAATAGCCTTGACCACATCCTGGGAGCAGATGCCAGAATGAATTTCATGGTGCCTTTTCTCACAATGACCCTGGTATATGCTGAGGGCCCCACACTGAGCACAGTGCCATGGCAGCAGTGTTGGGGGGGTGGGGAAGGAGGAGAGAGGGCAACCCAGTCCTGTCCAGTGTCAGCAAGCCTCTGGTCCAGCCTGATGTAGAGGTAGATTTTTCAATATACAGAAAAAAAAGGACAAATGCATCTCCTGCAAGCATCTCCCGTTATTGTCTCTCATATCAGGCGTTAGATGAATGTGGGTTGGCAGGTGGCTCCCAGCAAATGCCTGCGCACAGCTGCTCTCTGTTGCCAGTAGAGAGCACACCCATACGCATGAGCAACATTTGAACGGGGAAGGGGTTGGAAGCAAGGGTCTAACGGGGACAACTTCCATCCCTCCCTCACTCTGTGCAGCTGGGTGAGAGTATCCGTGGCAAAGCCAAGATTCTCCCAGAACAGGTTTTGAATACATTCAGTGGCTCCTGCTTCTACACGCCCGCCCACTCCAGACACATGCACACATGTTCAGAGGCTCCCTCCCAGCGTTCTCCTGCCCTGGTGATTCCGTGGGTCCTTTGAGAACCGTTTGCTGTAATCACCAGCTCTGCCTCTCTTTCCCTCCAGCGTCTGGTCTCCATGAATATGCCTCTGAACAGTGATGGGACGGTCATGTTCAATGCCACCCTATTTGCCCTGGTCCGGACAGCCCTGAGGATCAAAACAGAAGGTAAGAATCACCCACAGGGCACTGGAAGAGCCACCCAGAAGACCTGGCACACCAGCTAGAGGCGGTCGGCACCTGCAGAGGCCCAGGACCTTCCCGTCCTGCGCGGAGCTGTGGCTCAGCAATTACTCCACCTCGGGGTTATAAATGGGGCTTCATCCTGTTTCCTTTGCCTCTTGAATGGCCTCTAGCTTATTTATTTTGAACTCCAGCTTTCCATCTTGAAGTCATAGGGTATCGTTCAAAAACCAGAAAAAGGTGAGTGTTACCTGAAGCAAGACCAAGCCTCACCTAAATGGAATTGAATTGTCTGCAAATGGGCCTCTCAAATGCTCAACATTCTTTTTAAACTAAAAAATCTGTGTGGACTCTGGATGGGTAGCCCAGCTGGTTAGAGAGTTGTCTTGATATGTGAAGATTGCGGGTCTGATCCCCGGTCAGGGCACATACAAGAATCAATCAGGGCCTGGCCGACATGGCTCAGTGGTTGAGCATCAATCCATGAACCAGGAGGTCACAGTTTGATTCCTGGTCGGGGCGCATGCTCAGGTTGCGAGCCCAATCTCCAGTGTGGGACATGCGGGAGACAGCCGATTGGTGATTCTCTCTCATCAGTGATGTTTCTCTCTCTCTCTCTTTCTCTCTCTCTCTCCCTCTCTCTGAAATTAATAAAAATATATTTTTTTAAAAAGAATCAATCAGGGCACATACCTAGGTTGTATGGTTCAATCCCCATTTGGGGCGTGTGCGGGAGGCAACTCTCTCTCTCTCTCTCCGCCCCTCCTCCCCCCAGTTTTCTTATCTTCTTATCTCCCTCTCTAAAAAAATCTAAAAAATAATAAAAACATATCCTTAGGTGAGGGTTAAAAAAAAGCCCTGTGTGGGGAAAGGGTCATAGTGGCAAACGGTGACTATGGTCGAAGTCATCACATGCAGTGGCACAAGGGCTCAGCCAGCTCACGGGTAGGGGTTAAGATCGCACCTGTGCTCCACTAGGCAGGCCGTGCTCCCTGGGCCCATGTCCACATGGAGGGACACCTTCTAGTTTGCACAAAAGCACCCTGCGGGCTGCAGCCGCTTTGGCTGCAATAATCGGCTGTCTGTGTAATTGATGTTTTCCTGAACCATCTGTGGAAAAGGCCATATGAAATGTACCTAAGAGTTGTATTTGCTGTAAGACCTTCTAGCCTGTTATGTAGTGTTTCTCAGAGAGTGATCAAAAGACCACCTGCCTCAGATTCAACTATTGGAGTTTCTTTAAAATACTGAGTCCCGTGCACCAGCCCAGATCTCCAAATCTGAGGCTCAGAGCAGGCTCGGGAATCTGCACGTTCAACCAGCCACATTAGGATTCAGACAGGAAGTGAAGTTTGAAACCCTCATCTAGAGAACAAAGAAAGCACAGAGAGAAGCAGTATGTCTTCTTTCCCTTCTCATGCATCAGTCTGAGAGGTGCGGGCTGCCAGCCACGCGTCCTGGGCGCAACAGAAGGAGCTGGGCAGGGAGAGGGAGACCTGACTCGGATCACATCTGTGACAAGTTGTGTGTTCTCTCTCTGCTTAAGCTTCTTCATCGTCAAATAAGAGGGGTAATGAGCTGATACGAGGGGAGTCACTTCAGTGAGTATCCCACAGAGGTGCCTTCTCTCGGTTAAAGCCTTCCAGAAAATAATAGAAACATCCTAAATGAAAGAAAACAAAAACAGGCCATCACAATACATGTCAAAAATAATGAGCTCATCTTTAAAAAAATTAAAAATGGTTCAAGTTCTGCTGCTAAGCTACTAGTAAAAAGAAACAACGAATATACTCTTGGTAGCTAATGCAATAGCTCAATCTGAAATGGATGTAAGTAGGCCTATTCTTCACATGGGAACAACTGAACACACATTATAGCAAGGAGAAAAACTGGAAGGACATTTATTATGTTAACAATGATTCTCACTGAGTAGTAGAGTGAGCAGTGATGTTTACCTTCTTCCTTTACTTCTGTTACTTTCCGAATTTCTACAATGACTATTACAGTTATGTCCAGGAGGAAAGGTTTCCTTCTCTAAGGGAGAAGGTGTGATGACGGCGAGAAGGAATACAGCTTGATGTAAATTGAGGGAACACATTTTCATTCCTTGGAGGACTGAATAGCACTGGTGCACAGAGGCCCGAGTCCTCACTGTTGAAGATGCGCTGTCAGCGCAAACCAAGCCCCAGCTAAAGAATACCAACCGCTGCTGACAGTGCCAAAGGCGCTGCTCTGAAATACCCAGGACGCATGGCCAGGCTCCAGGAAATGAGCGCTCGCGGGCGGAAGAAGCCAGCCACATGGGAACTGCAGTCAACAATTAAAGGAAACTTGAAACACTAAGACATTTATCTACTGCATAGCATTGTCCCTATGGCTCACAGCACTGTTTTGTATGCTTAAAATTCTGTCTGGTGGGTAGATCTCCTGTTAAGTGTTCTTACCAGAATAACATGAAATTTTGGGGGGGGGGGGGGGAAGAAAAAGAAAAAAAAAGGAATAGCTACCAAAGGGCCCACAGTGCCAGCTCAGGGGCAAACCTTTATCAGAGACAAACCCTCCCCCAAAGTGTTAATCTCTTAAGTCTAAAAGACAAAGGCAAGTTCTTAGAAGCCACTAGAAAGAAATGTGAGAAAGCGTCTCAATTTGTGAGGATAAAGTCTTCACCAGTCATCACCCTTCAGACTTTTGAGCGTGGAAGGAATTGGATAGAAATTATCACCTTCTTCAGAGAACCAGTCCCAAGCCACACAAAACTTTGGGATGCAGAAGGAAGATAGTTTAAATACTTAGATGATGTGCTACAACTGCTAGTGACGTTCCCCAGGTACACAGCTAATCGTGAGAATAAACTGAGGCCTGAAAAAATTTAAAAGTTCTTTTGGAAGATGGATTTGTTGCCTAAGTCCATGGTAGCAGACTGTAGCAGACGGGACAGAAATGTTTCCTCTCACAGTTCAGGTGGCCAGAAATCCAAAGTCAAGGTGTCAGCCGGGGTCCCTTTTGGCTCTGAGGGGGAGCTGTTTCCTGCCTCTGTCCTGGCTCCTGGTGGCTGCCTCACTCCAGTCTCTGCCTCCATCCTCTCCTGGCCTTCTTCCCTGTGTGTCTCCACATGACTCCTCTTCTGATAAGGACACCAGTCACACTGGATTTAGGGCCCACCTGATGAGTACAAGCTCATCTTAACTAATCACATCCACAAAGACTCTATTTCCAACTAAGGTCATATGCCAAGGTTCCATGTGGACATGAATTTGGAGGGAACACTATTCAACCCACTACATAAGATAAGTATATTTGAGCATTGTATTAATTTGGACTCTTTCACTGCATATGTCAGAAACCACTAGCTACCTTACCCAGGAAGGGAGCCTAACCACAAAGGACCCCCTCCACAACTAGAATGCCAAGACTGCCCTTTGGCTCAGGTGACGTTCTCACAGGGGATTCAGGTGTCCGCCACTCTCCCTTGCCACCTCTGCTTGCTCCTGTTGGGCTTCCTTCAAAGGGAGCCTCTCTGGCAGGGCCACAGAGCGGATTCCAGCGCAGGCAGCCTGACCAGCCCTGGCCGTGCTGCCTCCTTGCGGAGTAGCACTAAGCGATTCAGCATACAGACCTCACTTGATTGCTCGTTGCAGATAGGGCAAGACCCTCCACCAGCAAAAGGATTAGGACTTGCTGAAGGCTCAGCTGATGGTTACCATTTTTTAGCAATATTTTTCAGTTAAGGTATTGACATTGTTTATATAGACACTAGCGAGAGTCCACGGCCAGCGTGGCTTTCGCAGGTTCAAAGACTTGGAGGGAGGGCTGACGCGCAAATGATACACACAAGACGGAATATTAATTTTTATAATTACCGGGGGAACCAGAGAATAACTCAACTAAGGAAGTCGAGTTCTCCCTGTTGCTCCTTTCCCAGCTGCTTTTATTTGCTAGAATACACAATTGCCTTTAGGAATGCAAACAGACATATCAATGGTAATGTTTAGCAAACAGTAAGATTGCCAGGTCTTGGGGGAGTTTGCTTTAGGCCATTGAGTCAGCAGCAGGTAATAAAATGTAGATATTCACCCTGTGAATATCAAAAGGAGTCCTGGTCAGCCTTCTGCCAGACTCCTCACATTTATATCAATTACTGTTGATCTTGGTCATCAGCAGACACTAGAGGCCTGGTGCATGAATTCATGCATGGGTGGGGTTCCTTGGCCTGGCTTGTGATCGGGCCAATCAGGGCCATCTCACCCAGTCCCAGTCAAGGTTGGCCGGGGCAGGGGCGGGGGGGAAGGACCACAGGAGGTTGGCCGGCTGAGGGAGGTTGGCTGTGGAAGCTCACTGACTACCAGGGGGCAGCTCCTGCATTGAGCATCTGCCCCCTGGTGGTCAGTGTGCATCATAGCTATTGGCCAGTCATCCGGTCGTCTGGTCATAACAGTCACTTAGGCTTTTATATATATAGATAATGCTATTGTACAATTAATAAACTACAGTATAGTGTAAACATAATGTTTATATGCACTGGGAAACCAAAAAAAAAATTGTGACTGGCTTAATTGCAACATTCGCTTTATTGCGGTGGTCTAAAACGGAATATCATAGAAGTCTGCTAGTATTGGTTTCCTATTGCTGTATAACCAATTCCCACACATTTCTTGTCTTGAAACAACACCCAGGTATTGGCTCCCAGTTTTGTAGGTCAGGAGTGGAGCCATGGGGTAGCTGAGTTCTGTGCTCAGGGCTTTACAAGGCCAACAGGATATTGGTCAGGATGTGTCCTCTCCCAGAGGCTCCAGGGAAGAACCCACTTCCAGCTCATTCAGGTTGTTGGCAGGATTCACTTCTTGCAGTTGCAGAAGTAACTGCTGGCTCTCTGCTGGGACCACTCAGCCCCAGAGGCTGCCTCTCTCAGCTCAGCTCACAACACAGTGTGTGCTTTCTTCCAGGCCCACGCCACCATCTCTCACTCCTGCTCCCAGCTGGAGAGAACTCTCTACTTCCACCTTTTGACCCTCTTCACACGTTTATTTTTTGTCTGTTTTGTTTTTTATTGAGGTACAATTGACATATAACATTGTAATAGTTTCAGGTATACAACTTAGTGATTTGTTATTTGTATATGTTGTAAAATGATCACCACAATAATGCTAGTTAACATTCATCACCATGTATAGTTATAATATTTTTCTTTTGATGATAACTTTTTTTAATCCTCACCTGAGGCTATGTTCATTGATGAGAGAGAGAGAGAGAGAGAGAGAAACATTGATTGATTGCCTCCCGTATGCACCCCAACCACAGACCAAACCCGCAATCTAGGTATGTTCCTTGACTAGGAATTGAACCCGCAACCTTTTGGTGTACAGGATGATGCTCCAACTGAGGCACCCATCCAGGGCTTGTGATGAGAACTTCTAAGATCTACTCTCTTAGCAACTTTTAAATTGCAATACAGTACTAACTATAGTCACCAAGCTGTACATGATATTCCCAAGCTGTACAGGACTTATTTATTTTATACTGGAAGTTTGTACCTGAGAACTCTCTACTGTTAAAGAGCTCATGTGATTAGGTGGGGCTCACCTAGATAACCTCCCCATCTCAGGGTCATATGTGCCATGTAATATAACCTACTCACAGGGTGAAATCCGTTCTGGTCACAGGCCAGGGACTGTGCAGGGGTGCATATGCATATATCAGTGGTGGTGGGAGGAAGGTTGGGGGCATCTTACATCCTGTCTCACAGCTGCAGGCCTCAGCTTTCCTCTCATACGGCAATAAGGCCATTATCCCAGAGGCCGCATGGGGTAGCACCTCATTAGCCTGTTTCGCCAGTGGGGAAGGTAGACCCAGAGAATCCAGTGTCTTCCGATTTCTGCCTCCACACTGAGGCTGTGCCACCTGCTCCCCGCAGGAGACTCAGCAAAGGGCTTTGACACTGGGAAGACTGCTCTTCTTCCAATCACCCACATCTCTCTGGCAACCACGGGGGCCCTGAGAAATGCCATCCAGGAAGAGCCCCTGTGCTCTCCCGCCAGATGGCTGTTGAGCTCTGTCCAGCACCAGCAGCCTTGTCAGTCCTAAGTGCCGCCCACAAGGAAAAGCAGTGTGTGAGGTGAAGGGACGCCCCTGGCTGGCTGAGTAGCAGGCCGAGAAGGAATGGCATTGGACAGGGCACAGCACAGGGGAGAAAGAGAGAAACAAGGGATCAGGACCATCTGTGGGGCACTTGATGCTGAGAGCACACCCCATGGGGGGCCTCCAAGAGTCGGATGATCTTTTCAGCCTTGTGTCTGTCTCCCTCCCCTCAGGGAACCTGGAACAAGCCAATGAGGAGCTGCGGGCCATAATCAAGAAGATCTGGAAGCGGACCAGCATGAAGCTGCTGGACCAAGTAGTGCCCCCCGCGGGTGGTAAGTGCTTCCCGGTCTCCGCACACTCGCCACTTGCCTGGTTCTTGAGTTGCTAGGCTTGTGGGAAGCCTGCTCTCCCCGGACCTTGCCTGTGGGCTGAAAGGCCCTCCTGGTTAGAAGGGATGAGGGTGCCACGCCCTCCACAAACTCAGATACAGGCCGTTGGGTTGGAGATCGAGTCCAGTCCTGCATTTCGCAGATGAAGTCAGACAAGGCCTCTCAAAGCTTGAGGTTTGGCAGAACTTCAAGGAAACTTTTAAGTTTCCCCATAAACCCCTGGCCTGATGGCTCTTGTCATAAATGGGCCCTGAGAGCGCCTCCTGGTGGGAGCTGTGTGTGTCCTTCCCAGGGCATGTTGCTCAGCCCTGTGCACCCACAGCCCCTACCGCTGTCCTGAGTCATAGGTAAAACAGCCTTCCCACACATGTAATTTCCAAAATATTAATATAATGCTTTAACTAATATAAAATGTATTGAAATCTAATGGCTTTCAATATGTAAAGTTATAACTAACTGAAGGAATGCTTGTATGCACCCACGTATAACGAATAAGTGTTTAAAGGAAGTAAGATGATTGAATATTGTCAACATCTTGTTTTTGTCATTTTGAAGTATAAAGCCTAAGTATATTTAAACAACTTTACACACGCACATATATATACATACACCTGCATACATGCACATGCAAAGGACACATGCTGACTGAGACAGGCAGGTCAACGACAGCGGGGACTCAGATTCCATCGGGGCAGGTGAAGCAAAGTCTTCTGTCAACTTACACAGCAGTTATGTTCCTGGAAAATTCTGGATATATTAAAACTATGTAAAATGAAGTTAGGTTCTTAGCTCGGATAACTATAAGCAGGTTGTCCCCCACATGGATGTCCTATCATAATACTTGAAAGAGTGAGAAGCTATTATTTATTGTGCAAAACATGTCTGTGCTTAAGGGCCACATCGAGAGCCATTTAGTACCAGTAGCACCCCAAGTCACCATGTCAACTAAAAACATCCCACCTTCCCTAACTGGTTTGGCTCAGTGGATAGAGCGTCGGCCTGCGGACTGAAGGGTTCCAGGTTTGATTCTGGTCAAGGGCATGTACTTTGGTTGCGGGCACATCCCTAGTAGGAAGTGTGCAGGAGGCAGCTGATCGATGTTTCTCTCTCATCGATGTTTCTAACTCTCTATCCCTCTCCCTTCCTCTCTGTAAAAAATCAATAAAATATATTTTTTTAAAAAAACAAAACATCCCACCAGCCTCAAAACACTTTTTGAAAGGTGACACCACCCCTGTTGAGAACCACTTCCCAGAGGGAAGGCAGGACTGGGACTAAGTGGAGTCACAAAGATGGACAGGCGCCACCTGACGGCTTACATACAGTATTTTATTTGCTCCTTGTAACGTTTCTATGACGTTTGCTCAAAGAATCATAGTTCCTAGAAACTAAGTAGCTGGCCCAAGGCTACGCTGTGAGGACCTAGCAGATTTGGGATTCGAACCCAAGTCTGAGGGATGTCAGAGCGCCAAGCTCTTTCCCCTGCAACACTTCCTCCCCGACTGCCCTGGACAGGGGCTCAGGGTCTTTCCTCCCTATGGGAATGAGGCCCTTGCCAGAGGGATAGCCATCACTGCTGTGGATTTGGCTCCTCGAGGACAATTAGAAGCAGGAGAATCATCACAAGCCCTTAGATCTGACCCAACCAGCTGATTCCCTGGCCCGTGGCCCTGTCCTTCACAGAGACCTAGGAGGTGGAGCAAAGGAGGTCCTTATAGGGCATGAAATATTCTCGTTGGAGACTTCCTGGCTTCTCCATCACATGGTTCATTCCCAAGACAGGGGACCCAGCCAACCCAATCTGTCTGGTTGAAAGAAAAACCCAAACTTACACAGGAGGAGGTGCTCCTCCCACCACCCCTCCTGCTGGCCTTTAAGCAGAACTATGTTTGCACTCAGGGGACTGGTTGCTGGGGTGTGAAGCTTCGGAATCAAATGGGAACAGTAGCAATGTCAGTTCAGTAAACGGAGCAAGGTGGGAAATAATTTTGACAATATGGTATTTTTCTTTAAAAAGGGGGGCAATAAGAATATATTGCTCATTTACAGAAAGCATTTGCATAAAGAATCTTTGCAAAAATATTCAAGAAACTAATAAAAAGCTTATCTATTAGGAGGTGGTAACCTGACAGATGGGCACAGTGGGAAAGAGGATATTCACTATATAATTTTTTATATAGTTTTGTCTTTTTGAACCATGTGAATGTACTATCTCTTCAAAATATAAATTTAAAAATTTTTAAAGTTTGGCTGCTGAAAAAATAAATTAATAAAGCCCAACTGAATTCCCCTTGTTCATCTCCAATTCCCTGCTCTCTCTTTAAATGTCAGATGATGAGGTCACGGTCGGCAAGTTTTATGCTACTTTCCTGATCCAAGAGTACTTCCGGAAATTCAAGAAGCGCAAAGAGCAGGGCCTCGTGGGCAAGCCCTCCCAGAGGAACGCCTTGTCCCTGCAGGTGAGGGGCCAGTGGGGCCACACCCCAAGGAAAGGCCTGGCCACCTTCCTCTGACCTCTGGCCAGGGTCCAAGTCTCTCACCAGTGGGCGGGGGTCAGGTCCCTTCAGAAGGTAGATGCGCGAAGGGAACATAGTCCTTTCCCTCCGTGTTCTCTCCACACACACTGCCCGCATGGCCCTGCCTGCTCCGCGGTGCCCAGGCTCGGGAGCGGGGCTGAGGTTCCCTGACAGCCCCTGCCACCTACCGTGCCTTCATCTCTCCTGGATACGAGCCTGGGTTCTTCCACTCGGAGCCAGACAGAGCGGTCCCAGAGACGCCCTGGTTCGCACACACAGGATGCCTTCTGGGGGCTCCCTGCCTGGGGAGACACGCAGGTGAGTGGCTGGGCGGGGGCCCCGGGCTCACGTGTCCCTCTGGGTTCCAGGCTGGCTTGCGCACGCTGCACGACATCGGGCCCGAGATCCGACGGGCCATCTCCGGAGACCTGACAGCAGAGGAGGAACTAGACAAAGCCATGAAGGAGGCTGTGTCTGCCGCCTCTGAAGACGACATCTTCAGGGTAGGCGGATGCTACAGAGCACTCTCCACCTTAATCAAGTTCGGTTGAAGCAGGAGGGTGGACTGGTGTCCTGCCAAGAAAACCCAGGGAGAAAGGCCCGAGTTCTGTGGCAGATTCCAGCTCTGCCCACCAGCTATTTCCTACCCCTCCTCTTTTCCAAGCCCAACTCCCTCTCAAGCCAGGGCTCCCAGGACATGGCAGCTCTGAGGGCATCGTGGGCTCTGGGGAGAGGAAGAGGGACCCATTTTCCGAGGGAAATGTTTCCAAGGAGAAAGTACATTAGAAGCTGCAAAGTGATGGCCCTTGGGCCTCAGCTAACATGCAGGCCCATTTAGTTCGCCAGCATTTGAAAATCGGGCACATTCAAATAAAAATCTAGACTTCGGGTTTCTCTTTAAAGCATGCGAAGCCCTGTCGATGTTAGGCTGTGGCCCCCATGGCAGCAGAGGGCTGGAGCCCAGTGGCAGTTGTCCCCTAGATGGGACATGTGTTCTCCAGGTCACAGGGCCCCTCCAGCCTTGCCCCTCCTCCCCTGGGCCGGAGGCTGAGCTTCAGTGTTCACAGTAGGAACAACAGGACTGGACCGCTTGGGCTCTTACATCCGGCTCTCTCCATTCATTGGTGGCACCTGCCTAATCCCGAAGGCATTTATCTAAGTGTTTCTCCAGCGAGGGCCAGCGCACACCTGTCCCTCCCAGCCCCGTGCCCGGGTCTCCAGGCTGTGGAAACACAGGGAGGCGAGAGGAAGTGGTCCTGCCTGTAGCTGACCTGTCATCACATCCTCATTCTCATCACTGCGAAGTGTGCGTTACTGAACGGCCTCAGGGACACAGCAGCAGGTTGACACGGCCCTGCCGACCCCGCCGACCAACCTTGCCAATAACTACTTGCCCACTTACCCAGGACAAGGAAAGAATGCTGGGCATGAGCCCGATTCCAGATCTGAAATCTCTAAGACCCCCCGCCCCCCCCCCACACACACACACAAACACACACAGGAAAAGAGGCCATAATATAATAGAGGTAGTAAATCCATCATCTTTATTTTCAAAGCCTTTGGCTAACACGTTTCTAGCCCAGTGAGCCAGTTGGAGTTCCATTTTTAAATCTTGTTGGAGCCTCCGGCTCTTCCCCGCCCCTCAGACCTCACAGCACCTCAGCTGCCACCCCTCCCAGGTGCAGGAAAGGCTGGGCGCCCTAGACTCATCCTTGAACTCAACCCCAGTCTTCCGCAGGCTCATTAGAAACTCCCCGGGCAGCGGCTGCCCTGCCTGGCTGGCTCCCACAGGAGGTCCTGTCCCTCACTATTCCCCCAGCCCTTCCAGAGGGGACTGACGGGTCCCTGCCACTCCAGCTGCCAGGCCACGTGGGTGAAGAATCCCCGCCCGCCACCTGCTGCCCCGCGTGGCTGCACTCTCGGAGGGCGGACAACTTCCCTTGCGGTGGAGAGGTTGCCACTGAGGCGTCCTCCTCCACCCACCCCTCCTGTCTTGCCTGCAGAGGGCCGGTGGCCTGTTTGGCAACCATGTCAGCTACTACCAAAGCGACAGCCGGAGCACCTTCCCCCAGACCTTCACCACTCAGCGCCCGCTGCACATCAACAAGGCCACCAACAGCCCAGGCGACACCGAGTCCCCGTCCCATGAGAAACTGGTGGACTCCACCTTCACCCCCAGCAGCTACTCATCCACTGGCTCCAATGCCAACATCAACAACGCCAACAACACTGCCCTGGGCCGCTTTCCCCGCCCCACCCGCTACCCCAGCTCCGTCAGCGCCGTGGAGGGCCATGGGCCCCCCTTGTCTCCCGCCATCCGGGTGCAGGAGGCAGCGTGGAAGCTCAGCTCCAAGAGGTAAGCAGGCGGGCGGGGCACCCAGGGCCCTGCGCGGCCTCACACACTCCAGCTTAGAGGGGTCGGGGAGGAGAGTCTGGTCCCCCAGCCTGCACTCACCCCTCACGCTGGGGTGGATGCTGCTGCCTCGTGATCCAGGGAGAGAGCAGGGTGCAGGCTGCCTCCCAGGTCCTGCCCTGACTACATGTGGCAGCCATGCTCAGGGAAGGCGTGTGGCCCCACTGCCAGCAAGTGTCCTGAGGAGCACGCCTCTGGCAGAGCTTGCTCTGTGCTCTGGGCCCAGCCCCGCCCATGCAGAGGCCCTGGCCTCTCAGCCCCAAGATGTTTGTATCCTGGCTACACTACAGACACCATTCCCCAAGTGGGAGGGGAACGAAGTTACCGCCTCCTCTTTCTATCCTTCTCACCCCTCCAGGGAGGGGCCTCTTGGTGGCAGGAGGCCCTTCGCTGTAGCAGTTGCTCATCTCTCCCAGGGTAGCGTCATTCCTGGTCTTGACTGCGCCTCCCACCTCCTGACCGGCTCTTTCTCCCTGTGCTCTGCTCCCTGGTGCTCCAGGGCGCAGTGCTGGGATAGCCTGCTCCCTGCTGCCATGCTCTGGGCCTCCGGGAGCACAGCCTGGCCTAGAGGGTCTGCCTGCCTATGTGGGCAGCTCTGGCTCCCCAGGCTGGTGGGAGAGGCCGCGCATCTGCACCTTGCACCTCACCCTTAGCTGCACTGCTCTCCCAGAGCCGGGTGGCAGATCCCAGCATGCCCGGTTCTTGGGCCAGTCTCCTTTTCTGCCCTTGAGCTCAGAAAAATTGAAATGTCCCAGCGTCTTTCTCAATCCATGGGCATGTGTCCTGAGCTGCTTTCCTTCAAGGAACCAGCGGCACACTTGTACGTCCACATGGCCTGGCCACTTACCAGTGACTGACGGCAGACGAGTCAAGCCGGCCATCCGTCTACATTGCTGCCTAAGATTAGCTGGCTCACCACCAAGCAGTGCTGGGCGAGTCCTGCCCACTCACACTGATGCCTTCTAGCTGCAGGGCCGTGTGTGAGCCCTGGGTTTGGTGTGCTGATCAGAAAGGCTGGTTTGCACAGAAGGATGTCAATGTCCAGGTGGCTGGCCCAAGCTGTCTTGGCGGCCCCTCCCTTTTCTGCAACCCTCCCCCCTTCCTATGTCCTTCAGGGACTCAGTCCTAGTACCCTCTTCTCCCTGCTCCCCTTATCCTCCAAGGAAGGCTTGCTGTGTTCATCACTAGCATCTCAGTGTAAACTAACCCCTCCTTCAAAGGGAATTTTCATATGAGACTTTGTTCTGTATTAAGTAAGGAAGGTAAAAATCACTTTAGAGAGGAGTTAGGGAGGGATATTGGGGATTTCTTCCTCTCCCCACAGATCCATCTGTTAGGGAAACAGGATCACAGCGCCTAGCACATAGTAAGCGCTCTCTAAAATCTCAGCTCCCACCTCCCATCACAGTTGGGAAAAACAACAGTCAGGGCAGTAAGTTTCAAATTGTGAAGAAGGACAACTTAAACAAAGTTCCAGCTCTGGACCTTGTCCTTCGTGTCACAGCTCAGGGCTGAGGTGGCTCCGGCACTGGCCTTGCTTTTGCTGGGGACAGACCAGCGCACCCTGCACACAGTGGCCCCCGAGGAGTGGTGTTGCCTGCCTGCTGCCATTCCCTGTGTCCAGCGCATCCCGTGTGCCTCACCAAAGCTCCCTCCCTGTCCCTCTCTTCCCACCCCATTCAGAGCCTGGGACTGTGGGGTGGGCAGCCACCGGTGAGGGCCTCCCCCAGACAACTGCGCTCAGTCCCAGCACTCAGTTCTGAGGATGAAGGGGGATGTTTCTCTGACGCCTCATGAGTCTGAGGATAACGCGGGCCCTGGCTTTCTGGGTCTAGAGGAAGAATGATGGAGGGCCTACTGAGCCCGGCACAGGCAGGAAAGGGAGCTAAGGAAGGCGTGAGCAGGTGAGCAGAAGACTGGCCGAGGGAAGGCGGTAGAATCCCAGGCACATGTGGAGTGGCAGGGATGTGTGCTGCGAGCTCCATGGAGACTCAGCTCAGCAGAGCCTCAGGCACACTCCCCTCTGCTTAGACCAGTGATGGCGAACCTTTTGAGCTCGGCGTGTCAGCATTTTTAAAAACCCTAACTTAACTCTGGTGCCGTGTCACATATAGAAATTTTTTGATATTTGCAACCATTGTAAAACAAAGACTTATATTTTTGATATTTATTTTATATACTTAAATGCCATTTAACAAAGAAAAATCAACCAAAAAAATGAGTTCGCGTGTCACCTCTGACACGCGTGTCATAGGTTCGCCATCACTGGCTTAGAAGCACAAAGCCGCTCTCGGAGCCTTCTTCTCCGTGCCTGGACTCCAGGGAGCCAATGCCAAACATGACACCAGGACCTCTCAGCTCTGCCCAACCAACGCCCAAAGGCCCACTGCCTCTAGTGAAGGGAAGGGGCAGCACGCTCATCGGCCACCCCCCCTCCGTCAGTGCAGCCCAGGACCCTTCCTTAAAGGCTGATCCTCTCCTCCTTCCCAAGCACCATCTGGTGTGTTGCTTCATTTGTTCTTCACAGCAAGCCTCTGGGTCAGGCAGGGCATATGTTATTCCAGTTTTATTGATGGGATCCTGAGGCTTGGGATGGCCTCAGTCACTTATGCCAGAGGGTAATTGAATGGGGTCAGAACTCAGGTCTCCCTGGTCCTAACCCTCTTCCCACATGGAACCTCAACCCCAGTCCTGTGCTTCCTCCGCGATTGGTCGCAGGCGGGCCTGGCTGCTGTGTGTGAGCGCGTGTGCACGTGCGTGTGATGCCGTACTGCTGAGGAAGGGGAGGGGGCTGGCAGTTTCTGATTTTTTCTCCATCTTGGACACTTTAGGTGCCACTCCCGGGAGAGCCAGATAGCCATGGTGTGTCGGGAGGAGTTTTCTCAGGACGAGACCTACGACGTGCAGATGGGTGACGACGCGGAGTACTGCAGTGAGCCCAGCCTGGTCTCCACAGACAAGTGAGCCCTGTGGCCTCTGCCCCGCGGGCCCGCGTGTGTAGAGGGGTCTGGGCGAAAGGCAGGCCCTGGGGTCCCTCCTCTGGGAGAGATCTGGAAGGGGAAAGAGGTCACATGTCAGAAGAGCGCCTGCAAGGCAGCTGTCAGCTCGTTAGGGACAGAAGCCCCAGACCCACACAGACACACACAGTCCCCTGGTTAGCTTGGCCCTTCCTCACAATACAGTGCTTTCAGAAAAAAAAACTTCTAAACAACGAATAAATATATTTTACTGGTCTCCACAGACAAGTGAGCCCTGTGGCCTCTGCCCCGCGGGCCCGCGTGTGTAGAGGGGTCTGGGCGAAAGGCAGGCCCTGGGGTCCCTCCTCTGGGAGAGATCTGGAAGGGGAAAGAGGTCACATGTCAGAAGAGCGCCTGCAAGGCAGCTGTCAGCTCGTTAGGGACAGAAGCCCCAGACCCACACAGACACACACAGTCCCCTGGTTAGCTTGGCCCTTCCTCACAATACAGTGCTTTCAGAAAAAAAAAACTTCTAAACAACGAATAAATATATTTTATAGTGAGACTCAGTTACACACATACACATATTGACCAGTAAACAAACATTTGTGAAACTACTTATAATAAAGCTGCCAGCAGAGGGCACTGTTGGCAAATGGTGGCTGAGATTTTTGTCAGCGCTGGAATTTTTTAAGGGTTTTTTAACTGCAGATCTAGACCAATTAGGAGGCTGTGACATTTACTTCGTTATGATCAGCACTTTTAAAAGAAAGCATAGCACATGATAGCACAGACTAGGATAAAATAAGAGGACATAAAATAACATATCCAATGTCACAAAGGTAATAATCATTTTGTGAAACATTTGCTTAATTGCCAACGTATGTGTTTGCAGAGTCCCATAAAATGTATTTATGAGTGTGGGTTGCATTCAAAAAGTTTAAGATGCATTGTTTTAAGGCTTTCCTGAAAGCACTTTATAAAAAGGAAGGGCCAGCCCTTTTAGCCTTTAGATTTTTAGAGAATGCAAATTAATACAGTACATGGTCACATAGTTTGGAAATCAGGAAAAGCATATGTGGAGCCATCGTTTTGGCTCTTACAGAGTGCTCTGCTAGATCATGGTTAAATTGGCTTCCGCACTCAAGGAGAGTCTGCAAACTCGTTAGGGAGCTAAGATGATCTCCGAAGAGGAAAATGACACAGAGATTTTCTAACTAATTGCTCACAGAGTGGTACAACTGTGAGGAGTACAGGCATTCTGAAAAGGTCCAAGTCAAGGTGGCCATAACAGGCGCCAGGCACAAGGTCAAACAGAAGCTGGGTCCTCAAGAATGGGTACGATTTGTTTAAAAGAAGTATAATAGGGAGGGCTTACCAAGCTGAGAACGAGAGGAAAGGCTTAGAGCAGCGGTTCTCAACCTGTGGGTCGCGTCCCCTTTGGGGGTTGAACGACCCTTTCACAGGGGTCGCCTAAGACCATTGGAAAACACATATATAATTACATATTGTTTTTGTGATTAATCACTATGCTTTAATTATGTTCAATTTGTAACAATGAAAATACATCCTGCATATCAGATATTTACATTACGATTCATAACAGTAGCAAAATTACAGTTATGAAGTAGCAACGAAAATAATTTTATGGTTGGGGGTCACCACAACATGAGGAACTGTATTAAAGGGTCGCGGCATTAGGAAGGTTGAGAACCATTGGCTTAGAGGTTTTGGTTCAAAAACTTTCCTGAACATCTGCAGATGCTGGAAGTCAGGGGCTAGGAGCAGAAAGGCACTTGGTCTCTGCCCTCCGAGGACGCGAGTCCCAGAGGAGTAGAGTCGGTGGCCTCCTCTGTAAAAGGACGGGGTTAGAATGCAACCTCGGAGCGACAGTTGTGTCCACCAGGGGTAGTGAAGTCAACTTAGTGGACTGCAACTGACATTTTAAAAGAAATAGAATGGACTAAAGTAGAATGGAAAGTGTCAGAGTGCGGCGCATGATGGTGAGTGTGGTTCATGATGTTTAGTTCAATCGTGTGTGTGTGTGTGTGTGTGTGTACCTGTGAGTCCCATCAGAAAGGCTTAGGAACCACTGACTTGATGCCCCGGGGCCGTGACAGCTCTGCTGTGCACGGGGTGATTGTGTGGAGCCCGTGCTGATGCAGGGGAGGGCAGGCCAGAGAGAAAGGGGTGGGGAGTTGGGGTGAAGTGGCGACTGGTCCTGGTAAAGAGCATCAGCATGTGGAAGAGAGGAGCCCGGGTCATGCCTGGAAAGAACCTTGTGGGCCTAGAATTTTTTCCCAATTTTCTCCACAACTTTGACCCAAGAGCGCCCTCACTGCCTCTGATCAGAGGTCCGGGGCTCAGAGCATCCCTGCTGCCCCTCCCCAAACCTTCCTGGGAGCACAAAGTGGGGGCTCCCTTCCCTGAGGAGCAAAGGAAACTGCCTTTTGGGGTGGCAGCTGTCCCTGTAGGGTGCAGGTCTCAGCCTCCAGGAGCAAGCCCCAGGAGTTCTCTCTTCCAGGCTCTCCTACCAGGATGAGGAAAGCCGGCAGTTGGCACCGCCAGAGGACAGGAGGGACACCCGGCAATCTCCAAAGAGGGGCTTCCTCCGCTCGGCCTCCCTGGGTAAGCCCACGCGCCTCGCTCTCAGATGTGTCAGCCAGTGGGCACCTCCGATGACTGGTCAGGCACTCAGGGTGACAGAAACCATGGCGGCCTGGCTCTGACAACCCCACACAGTGGGCTGGGCAGATTTCCAAAGCGACGAGAGGGAATCCAAGGGCAGGGCTTGCTGGCATTGGACTTGGACTTAAGCTGCGTGGTATGTGTCAGAGAAAGATGAAGGGTAAAGAGGAGGTGTATCCAGACCTCTTCCCTCCCTGGGCCCGAATCGGCACAGACCCCGTCTCCTTTCCCGGTTCTGATGCCGGTTATTTGGCTCCTTTGCAGGTCGGAGGGCCTCCTTCCACCTCGAATGTCTGAAGCGACAGAAGAATCAAGGGGGAGACATCTCTCAGAAGACAGTCCTGCCCTTGCATCTGGTTCATCACCAGGTATTCCACACTTTGGACAGGCCACTGGCCACCCCCCAGTAGGCTAGACAAAGTCCCCAAGACACCAGTCTTCCCGGTCTCAGACCACTGCTGCATCCCCACCCCTGGCCTAGCAGCCCCCAGGGGAGGGGCTTTTTCTACCCGAACAAGAGCCTTAACAAAGTCTGTCATTTCCCAAGGTGGAGACCTAGGAAATACTGGTGAGCAGGAGCTCCCCACACGGTCCCAGGATCCACCTGAGCTTTCTTCTTACAGTGGCACAGGTGTCCCCCACCCCACCCCCAAGACATTAGCTTACACCATAGGCACTCAAGCAGATGTGGTTCTACCTATAGTTGCAAGACACCTGGAAATTGAGTGGCACAAAAATCCATCCACTGAAATACAGAAATGATTGGAGAACCAGCCAGCTACATGGTCAGGAGTAGGGAGTGATATCCCAGGAAAATGGTCCAGGGAGAGTTGACTGTTGACCTTTTTCTTTTAGCACGGATGGCTCTGCGGTGTAAAATCCAAAGAGCATCAAAAATGCTCTTAGTATCTCAGAACTAATGGAGTCCTCAAAGAATTATCTAAGGCAGTCTCTTACCTCCAGGAAAATTAGGCTGTAACCTAGAGTTTCCTAAACTTTTTACCTCTTTAGTTATGCACTCCCTTACCACAGGCATATGTTTTCCTTTTTTTTTTTTTACAAAGGCATTCAACGGCCGATTAAAGTTTATGATCTGCACTAGAGGCCCACGAAATTCGTGCACTGCGGGGGGGAGGTCCCTCAGCCTGGCCTGCGCCCTCTTGCAGTCTGGGACCCCTCACTCCTTACCGCCCACCTACTTGCTGCTCCTCACCACTCAGCTCGCTGCTCCTTAGTGCTGCCACGGAGGCGGAAGAGGCTCCCGCCACCACTGCTGCACTTGCCAGCCATGAGCCCAGCTTCTGGCTGAGTGGTGCTCCCCCTGTGGGAGCGCACTGACCACCAGGGGGCAGCTCCTGCATTGAGCATCTGCCCCCTGGTGGTCAGTGCGCATCATAGCAACCGGTCATTCTGGTCGTTCCTCCATAACGGTTGCTTAGGCTTTATTATATAGACTAGAGGCCCAGTGCACGAACTCGTGCATGGGTGGAGTCCGTCCCTCCATCCCTGATAGGGGCCAGTCAGGCCTGGGCTGGCGGGGGCAGGGGACTCAGGAGGTTGGCTGACTGGCCCTGCCCCCGATCATGGTGGCGGGGACCGATCGGGGGCTGGGTTGGCTGGGGGAAGGGCCGCGGGAGGTTGGGGGGGGGGCCGATCAAGGCTGGTTGGTCACTGAAATATGCGTCACAGTGACCGATCGTCCCAGCATCCTGGTCGCTTGGCTTTTATATAAATAGATAAGATGGCCAGTGTGACTTGGCTAAGTTGACACTATTTCAGCTTAAAGAAATGCACTGTTTTGCTTAGCCTGTGTGGCATTGCCCGCATGCATACTATCTCCAGGGCCCAAGGACCCAGGCTGGGGATCATCAAGAGCAGTGGCCAGGGAAGGCTGGCAGGCTGGGAGGACACTATATGTTATAGTTTCAAGGATTTCTGGAAGTTTATTTCACTCATCTGTTCGATCATTCTGGAAGGCAAGAAACTGCTTTTCATTTACATTCTCCCTTTATGCCTTTCTACTACCTCCACACCCACATGGCAGTGCCCCCTTCTCTCTGCCTCTCGGGCTGGGCTCTCCCCCACGCTGCCACTGCCCCGTGGATGCAGCACATCAGAGCAGGCGTTGCGGCAGCTCACCTGGGGACCACAACCTACCCTCAGGGCACTCACGCACCAGGGGGGCAGAGGGCACAGTGTGTAAATAGTTCAATCACAATACAGTGTGAGATCTGAACAATAGTTCAAAAACAAGGTGAGCTAGAGATTGGCAAGACATCATTAACGGCCAGATTAATTGTAAAAACTGAAACAGTAAGCCCTGGTTTTGTCTAGCTCTTTGGACGCACAGTGCGCTTTTGCACAGACTCTCCTTCACTTGGACCTCACATCAGCCCGAAGGGCAGGGAGACAGTGGGCACTATGTGTGGTTGTACAGGTGACCCAGGCACATCCTCTCCAGTCAACTGACAAGGAAGCCAAAGGGGGAGAATTCGCAGCTGATGGGGCAGGGCCAGTGCTGATGGGCAGGTGACCCTGACTCCAGTCTGTCACAACTTTTGGAATTTAGAGGAGACAGGGTTACTTCAGACCGAGGTCATCAGGAAATGCGTTTTAGGATGGTTGCAGTGTACACTGGGTCTTGATGAGGGAGGATTCGGACGGGTGACATGGTGGCGTATGAGCTCCAGGCAGCTGGGACCAGCTGGAAGCAGTCGCTGCCAAGAGGCCTGCCTCCGGCCTGACCATTCCCGTAACCCGTGCTCCTTGTGTGTCCACAGGCATTGGCAGTGGCGGGCCTGAGCCCCCTCCTCCAGAGAAGCCATTCTCCCACCACGTTCCCCCGGCCGTGTGCCACCCCGCCGGCCACGCCCAGCAGCCGAGGCTGGCCCCCGCAGCCCATCCCCACCCTTCGGCTGGAAGGAACTGAGTCCACTGAGAAACTCAACAGCAGCTTCCCATCCGTCCACTGCAGCTCCTGGTCGGGGGAGCCCACGCCCTGCGAGGGGAGCAGCAGCGCCACGCGGAGAGCCCGGCCGGTGTCCCTCACTGTGCCCAGCCAGGCCGGGGCCTGGGGCAGGCAGTTCCACGGCAGTGCCAGCAGTCTGGTGGAAGCAGTAAGTGACCCCGAGCACGGCAGACAGGGGGAGGAAAGGCCCGAGGCAGAAGGTACTTTGCATGGAGATCAAGAAGGGGGTACCCGGCTCTCTCCCAAAGGCCCTCACTGCCAGAGCCGGCAGACGGCGTGGCAGGCAGGCAATTCTGGACTTCTGTGGGGCTGGGCTGACGCAGAGGGAGGGAGAAACTGAGCGCACGTCCCTACCACAGGCCAGTGAAGCGGAGAAAGCTGCGGGGTTCACCACACACCGGGCGTGCCGTCCGCCCGGGCCGTGAGCGTGGGCTGCCTGTGCGCACAGAGTCAGGTCTGACTCCCGAGCCTGGTCGCTCATAGAATAACCTGCGGGGGTTGGGAACCTATGACCAAGTAAATGGGTATTTTTAAAAACTCTTTAGTTGATTCTAATTAGATGATTCTAATTCCCAGCCAGGGTTGAGAGCATCTAGTCTAGAACAAGAGCACCTTCGGGCCCACCCTGCTCTGCCCTGGTCAGACCACCAATTGCTACCCTGGCACCATATCTCAGGGCACCTCTGGCAAATTGGAACAGTCCCAAAGGAGGATGACTGGGTTGGCAAGGTTCCTAGGAACCACTTTGTATGAGAACTGGTTGAGGGAATTCGGAAAGTAAACCTAGAGAGGTGGTGACGACTAACGAAGCCGTGATATGCCGCGCTGGCCGGTTGGCGCGTTGTCCCATACACCAAAGGGTTGTGGGTTCACTCCCCAGTCAGGGTGCCTATGGGAGGCAATCAATTGAGGATGACTGGGTTGGCAAGGTTCCTAGGAACCACTTTGTATGAGAACTGGTTGAGGGAATTCGGAAAGTAAACCTAGAGAGGTGGTGATGACTAACGAAGCCGTGATATGCCGCGCTGGCCGGTTGGCGCGTCGTCCCATACACCAAAGGGTTGTGGGTTCACTCCCCAGTCAGGGTGCATATGGGAGGCAATCAATTGATGTTTTTCATATCAGTGTTTCTCTCTCTCTCTCTCCCTCCCTTCCACTCACTCTAAAAATAAAAACATATCCTCGGGTGAGGACTAAAATAAAGAAGCCCTGACATGCATCTCCATCCTGTAAGGCTTCTGGGTCCTGGACAAGAGGTCTTAAATGCAGGGCTGGCGCACCGGGACCAACCTGACAGGCAGACTGTAGCTAACATAAGGCGATCTTTCCAAAATGAGGGCTTTCCTGTGAAACAGGGAGCCCCCATCACTTGACATGTGCAAGCAGAGACGATGCCTGTCCAGTCGTCAGGCTGTCGCAGGAGGTGGGGAACGAAACCAGATGACTTCCCAAGTGCCTTCTACCTCTAAAACCCTGTGCTTCCAGGGGCTTTGTTGCCTCTTATTCAGTCCACACATCTCCGTTGAGCACCTGCCATGTGTAGACTGTGTTCTAGGTGGGGGGCCGCCTCTAAGGAATAGGGTTTCTGCTCTGATGAGCTCATGTGGTGGTGAGGAAAGACAGATATTAAGCATGCTGGGAAGGGTGGAGCGATGAAGAAAAATTACGCAAGATAAAGAGTAAGGGGGGAGCAGGACTAACAGAACTTGGAGAAAAGTGTTCTGCGCTTCCCTCCACTGCTTCCCCTGCCCACTGGCCCATGGGGTGACTTCCCCACACGGGTCACTGAAGCAGCCTCTAGGGAGGGGGGAGGAGCTTTGGCTTTGCCCGCTGGCCCTTCCCAGCAGAGGCAGAAGAGGAAGCAGGGGCAAGCGCGGTGCTTGCACACGTCGTACTCAGGATCCGCACCCACAGACAGGCGGCGGGCAGTGGGCAAAACAGTTTCACCAAAAGAGAATGAAGGTTTCTCAGAGAGAATGATATAGGATGCCAGGGAGGAGAAAAGACAAGGGCAGAGGGTAGAACCCTCTGCTGTGAGACTACCCCCTGCAGTCCCTCAGTGAGCCAAGTTTTCATGTATTTGTAAGAGTTGTTGAGTACCCCAGCCCCATGCTCTCTCCTCCAGCCTGTACATCCTGAATCTCACTCCTTTCCTCTGAGCACCCACCACACACTCATGCACTCACACACGCACGCAGACGCACGCACACACTCCTGAAGTTTCCAGTCAGAAGTCCTTTGCTCTAACCCTAAACAGTAGAGTTGAGCTGCAGGAATAATGTTCCTCTTTGGTTTTTCCTCATGGCCCTCCCCCCTTCAGGTCTTGATTTCGGAAGGACTGGGGCAGTTTGCCCAAGATCCCAAGTTTATCGAGGTCACAACCCAGGAGCTGGCTGACGCCTGCGACATGACCATCGAGGAGATGGAGAACGCTGCAGACAACATCCTCAGTGGGGGCGCCCAGCAGAGCCCCAACGGCACCCTCTTACCTTTTGTTAACTGCAGGGACCAGGGGCAGGACAGAGCAGGGGGCGAGGAGCCCGGGCCCTGTGGGCCCAGCCAGGAGCCTCAGAGGAGCGAGGAGGAGCTGCAGGACAGCAGAGCCTACGTCAGCAGCCTGTAGGAGCTGGGCTGGGAGATGATGGGTTTTTTATTTGTCTCAATGTTCCTAAAGGGTTCGTTTCAGAAGTGCCTCACTGTTCTCGTGACCTGGAGTTAACGGAACAGCGTCTTCATTCATTTCGTTGGGACAAGACACAGAGTTGGGTGGTATGGAGAGTCAGCTTTTTGGGGGGAAGAAAAGCAGCAACCCCAGTTTGTGTCCAAGGAGGTAGAGTGGTGAGGAGGAGGAGGAGGAGGTGGAAGGGTCAGGGAGGGAGCAAGAGAAGGCCGCCTGCTCTCCTGTGGTTTTGCAAGCCCCGTGCCAGGAACCAGCCTTCACCTTGGGCACAAAAGAGACCCTCAGCTTCCTGTGGTAGCCCCCACCGAAAAGGACCTTTGTCAAACGGGTGTCTTTCAACTTTGCTTGTACAAAAATCATTTTGCACATATTGTGTACGAGCCTCACTGTCCCCATAGAGCCAGGGCCCTGTGGATCTGCAGAAGGAGGCAGGCATGACTCCCACCCCCCACCCCCACCAGAGAGGGAAGAGCAGGCAGCAGGAGGCCAGGAGCTGGGAGCCAGGAGGGAGGGCGCTTGGCCAAGCGGCAGCTGCCCCACCCCCACCTCCAGCCGCCTGCTGCCCGCCTATGTCAGGATCACCTTCCCCTCAATGGCCCCCAGTCCAGCAGCCCAGCCCGCCGGCCAGCCTGCAGCAGAGGCGGCGAGGGGAGCGGCGAGTCCTGCAGGAAGGGGCAGCCAGCACTGGACAACGCGAGGAGGAGCTGGGTTCTGCTGAGCGCTCCTTTGTTCTGTGGTTTGACATTTCTCTTGACAGCATGTTGCAGTTTTCATTTTGTTGTTTTGGGGTTTTTTATTTTATTTTCCCAGGAGGAGGGGAGGAAGAGGAGTGTTTACGAAGTTCAGTAGCCACCACCTTATTGTTTTCACTCTTGCAAATGTAAATCGGGTTCAGTTTGATCCTGTGATTAAACGGGTGTGGTTTCCTTTTCCTACAGAGGGTCCTTGCAGTCCCTGTGGGAGAGTTTTACCAGACGTTGTGTATGCCCAGTAATTTGTATGGTTTCCATAGGTAGTAAACATGGTTTTCGATTGGTTTTATAATTTAAAGGTAATCAGCAATGCACTTCACAGGGGCTTGCACAGATGGGTGACTGAGGGGTTCTCTCCCACGCTGGGTATATGGGTGGCCGGAAGAGAGGAAGCGTGTTTGAGAGTCTCTGAGTGTGATCCGCATGTAGTGGGTTGTCTGTTTGCGTGTGTCGGCCGTGTGTACGTGCGCCCACGCGGGGGCCCTGCGCCCAGTGAGTGTGCAGCGCCCCATTTCTGGGTTAACTGGGGGGATCTGAATCCAGGGCCATTTGAGAGCAAAAACAAATCACTGTCTCTGCTTCTGAAACAGGAATCAGTAACTTTGCATTTTCTGTCCCACAAGATATGCAAAAACAATGCAATAATATTCATTTTAAAAATACAATTGTGAGTCTTGTTGGCATTAAAACTGTATTTTAAAAAACACAGAAATTTAAGGAAAAACTCAAGAAGGTGTTTTGCTTCTATATATTCCGTGTAATGTTTTATTGCATTGATAATGTTTCTGTTGAAGAAACCGTTATACTTGAATTCAGGTCAGTTTCAGTATTTTACAATTATTTTTTTAAAATTGAATTGCAATTGTGCCAAGCGAATATAATGAATTAAGTTTGTTTTTGAATTCACCTCTTGTATATTTTGCTGCATGTAAGTAAATCATTTTGTATTTGGAGTGTGACAAGCTTTACCTTTGAACTCTTAAGTGCTTTTCTATATGTGGTTGGGGGAAGGGAGGCTTTTTTTTAATTTGTACAATGAGCAAGGGTATCACCAGTGTAAATCATTATTCTGCTACCCACCGACAGGTTTGGACATTACTGTTTTGCATATCTTGTGTTTGCTTCCGTTTCCCTCAATTTTCCCAAAACTATGACAGACATATTTGTACTACATCTCATTTGAGAGACCAGGCCATAGCTCACTCCAATCGTCACTCCATCTACTCTGCACCAGTTCTCTGTTTGGGTATTTCTCTAGGGACAGCCCTTACTGTGAGGGGTCGTGAGGCATTCTGACCGGCCTCTCTCCTCACTGCGCTAGCCTCCGCGTCCCCTGGAGGAGAGGCAAGGTGGCTGACTTTTCACTCCCACGGCACAAGTTTTGCTCAGTGGTTTTTCAGGGAAGTATACACTGACCAAGAGAATAGGAGGAGAGTTGGGCTGGCAGGAGGGGAAGGACATCCTGGCTCTGGCAACTGCTCTACCCAAACTCAGATAGCAGGGGCTAGAAAGAGGCAACCAGGTAAAATGCTTGTCCATCCAAAAGTCAGCTCTGTCTTGCTCATCTCTCCATCTTTCCTTCACTCTGGGGCAGGACTTCCCGCAGACTCCCGTGGTGTGTGTGGCAGCTGTGAAGGGGACCAGGACAAGAGACGCAGCATCGGGGGTTCACAGGGGTGGTGGAACCAGAGATTTTGTGGGAGCTTCTCTTATGCCAGTTTGCATCACCCTACTGATGCTGCCCTTTGAATAGATTCCAGCAGTGATGGTCAAAAAGGGACTCACTTGGGGGAAACAGGACCCAGCCGTTCATCTGGATTTTACCCACTGGATCTCTCCCAGACCCATGTATTCTCAGCCTTTCTTGGCACTTATATAAGCAAACTAGAAATTTAAATTGGGGAATTCCATTCCTCAGTGAAGATGAGTTTTGTTTTCATGAACTGATTCATGAAAATGTGGAGAAATGGGCCAGAAACTAACAAAAGCGTTTCTTCCTGTTTCTCTGAGCCCAACTCATCCAGGCTTTCTTGGCTCCTTCTCGGTGCCATCAAGGTCTTCTAGACACTAGGTTTAGGGGTTACCCTTTGTCTGGTTTCCCAAAATGCCTGCCACTGTGCCACTAAGATGTTAGTTATGATAGAGAGGGGAGCCCTTTTGGATTGATATCTGGTTCTTGCTGTACACTTGATCCCTAGATAAAATTTGGAATCTTAATTACCACACACACACACACACACACACACACACACACACACCCTTTTCCTGCTGCGTTCTATTTTTTTCCTTTTGGACTTTTCATCAGCATCGCCACATCTCATTGGCCAGCAGCATGGGCTACAGGCTGGCTTGTTCCAGCTACTCCTAGGGTCCTGCCTAAGTACGGCACCCTTGTTTTTCACCACTTACACCCAAAGGCTCCCTTCTCCTTTATAGTCAACTCTGTCCAGAAGACCAGCTAGCCGTCCTCCCTGCCCCATAGAACAGTGTCAGCTGTGACCAGGACACTTTGCCCGGTGCAGCTGTGAAGGAAAGGAGCTTCCGATGACAGCGCCCAGTCGAGTGTCTTTCTGAACTTGACCTCATGCTGGACTCGTGCAGGATGGACATTTGATGCCTGTCATCATCACAGACTAGTAAAATCAGTTGTGAAATCAATGAGCCTCATCCACTGTGTACTGGGTGATGTAGAACTTTCCCCATGACCTTGAAAAGCAAAGTGGTCGAATCTTCTGAAAACCTTGGGGCGGCAGGGAAAAGCAGACCGCGCTGAGTGAGGACCAGAAGGACTTGGAGAAGTTCAGCTTAAGTTCTGGGTTTTGGTGAACTTTGTTTTTATTTTCTTCCGAAGAGCCCAGCCTCTTTCATATCCAGACCTTGGTCTGTTACCGATCATTCGTGTGCATGGCTACGTTAAGCAGAGGGGTTTCCAGCTGTCTCCTTTCTGCCTGCTCCTAGAAGATTCCCTTGGGTCTGGAGGTAAAAAGAGAAGACTTTCCCCCTAGATGTTGGCTTGATTCATGAATTTTTCTCTGCTTTGCTTCAGAAGCTATTAGTTCCAGCCCCTTCCTCAGCTTCCAGTCGGATAGACATCCCTCTGACTGGGCAATCCAAGGACAAAGGAACAAGACTTCCTCACTCAGTCTTATTCTCCTCTGGGCCCTGCTCTCTAATTTCAGGAGCTTGTTTGCAGTGAAGCTGCCTGTCACTTGCACACAACCATCTCCTCGGGAATCCTGCTTAGCCTGCACTGGGCATAGTCCGGCCACCAGGGGAGAAGTGTGCCTCTCTGCCAAAGCAATGACTTTCCGAGAAATAAGCACCTAAAGAGGAGGAGTTTGGAAGTTGTCAAAAGGGTGATGGTTGTTTTACAGAGGCCCGTCCCTCCTAAAGGCCAAGGAATAGAACAAGAACTTGAATTAGGCATAAAGAACCCTGACAGTCAGTGTTTTAGCCTCATCACACCAGAATCATACCTGTTGCTAAGGAAGATGACGGCCTCTCCATCCCTACAGAACCCGAAGAATTGAAATATCATCATCTAAGAGTTAGAAGCAGTTTAGCAAAGAGACCAAGAGAAAGGGCAACCCGGTTTTAGAAGGACCTCTTTCAGCACCAGGGGAGCTAAAAACTTGCAGATAGAGTCCAGGCCAGTTCTGATTTTGAAGATATGGCTCTGGTCTGGGGAGAGTGTAAGCACAGGGGCTTAAGGGCATGTTTTGACTTCCTGTGTGCCTGTTCCCATGTTATGGAAAGAAGTGTCCAGTTCAACCACTCGCAATGGCCAGTGGAGAGGCCCATGTCTCGAGGATCTACTGTGGAAGAAGATAAAAGTAAAATTTTTTCTCACATTGTTTCCCAACCAAATCAAAGTTATCTGGCTGGATGTGGGGTGCTGTCACCCTGTCTTCCCTCTCTGCAGATACCCCGCCCTCGTGTTAGCCAGCGCACCACTGAAGCAAGCCCCGGTCAGAGGCAGGGGGTGAGGCTCAAGGTCACCACTGCCCAGCTTCTCCAGCAATACAGCTGAGGAGACATAAGGGAAGGCGATGAGGGAATGAAGTGTCCTGCAACTGTTGGGGGCTCTGTCCCCTTCCCTAAGCAGCTCTCTCTATTTCAGCCTCTTGCCCCAACTCCCCAGGTCCCCTCCCCTCTCCCCACCAGTCTAGTGAGAGAGAATGAAAGGAGTCCCATGTGCAATTCTTACATAGTTTTTTGTGAAGCCATTTCTGGTTCTTACTTTATTTATTTATTTGTTTGTTTATTTATTTATTTATTTTTTCAAAGCAATGAAGCATTGCCTTGTGGAGCCAGATACCAATACAACAGGTAAACGGGTATCTGCCAGGTTTCCACATTGTCGGGAAGACACTTGAACAACACGTGTACACACATACACAAATACACATACACACACAAATATACTCACACACACATACACTCACACACACACACACACACACACACACACACACACCAACATCCTTGAGGGACAAGTGCTGGTGCCACGGCTGAGCTCTAGACAAATGATTTTGTCTCCGCCCAGAAGGCTGAGCACTGTATAGCCAGAGACTGGGGAGAGGGTGGAAATAGTGCCTGAGCTTATCATGACTAGGAATTAAGTAAACATCTTAATTCATCTACACTAAGAAAATGCTACTACTCCTAAAGTCAAGGCCTTTTCCTCACATGATTTCAAGGGGCTCAGCCCCCATCAGATGCGGGGAAAGACCTCTGCCTTCTGGTGGATTGGGAAGCACGGACTCTGTCTCTGGAAGGGAACTCGAGACCAATAGACTCTCCTCAGCTAAGTTAAAGGCACTCGCTCACCACTGAGAGCAGAGGCGGCGTTGAGATTGTTCTCTACTAAACTAAGGAAGACACGACCAAGACCATACAATTAAACAAAAGCTTGAAGTGTCACACCACCAGTCAAATATCTTCCACTCCAAGGAGGCTGGCCTTTTCACAGGTGTGCTCCCCGCTGTGGGGCAGCCCATGCTCCCAGTTTTCAGGATCTGAATCATCTGATTTGTATCAGGCTCCTAGAAAGGGTACATGACACTTAATCTTCCATGAATCAGTCATTTGCTACACACCTACCATCTAAAAGTCACTCGCACACACCTCATAAATCAGAAAATGCCATAATCAGACAAAGTCCTTGGTGGGTAAGTAGTAAGAGGTGATTTCTATGCAAGGAAATACAGAAATGGACAGAATAATTCCTGTTCACAGTTTGGGGCTGAGAACTCTTGCTCTGATGTTTGTGGAGCCTTTGAGTTTAGAAGCAGGGGGGGTAAGGGAAAGAGGTGAGCAGATATCAGCCTTGGCGGTGGCGCTGCTACAGGAGCCTGAGGGCTGCACATTTCCAGGCCCCAGAAAGTCCTTCCTGAGCCTGCAGCCGGGAGGAGAGAAGAGAAGGCCACTTGCTGCAGAGTCACAGGAAGTAGAGGATGGGTCACTGGGCCCTGTCCCAAGCCCCTCCCCCTAAGGACTCCCAACATGGAGAAACTATACTGAGGCTTGAAAGGAGAAAACAAAACTTGAAAACCAAGGGTAGACCGCTGTAAGCCAACAATCCCGTGCAAAGGGCTCCTTCAGAAGGCAACTCAACGCTGTGGGCACCTCTCCGCTTGCTCAGGCCGCACATCACACATCAGCCATGTCCATTCCCCCGCACCTGGACTCCATCTCTTGACTCCCCACCCAGGCTGTGCACCACCCAGAGCATATGCTGGTCTCCCTGTGCCTGGGGGAAGAAGGTCTAGCACAGAAGTAGGCTGTGGATATCAAAGACATACACAGGATTCACAGCCTAGGATGGGAGCGGTGAGAACAACCTGTGGAAAAACACACACGTTCATTAAGAAATAGGGTGGCAGGTGCCCAGTTGGTGAAGCACTGGAATGTCTATTACTCTCATAATTTTCCAGTTTGGTTTTAACCCCAGAGGTACCAAGCAAGACTTCCCTTCATGTAAGAGGCTCCAGGTCCAGCCCGCCCATCCATCACTCTTCTCCTCACTTCCTCCATCCTCTTGCTCAGGCCGACCCTCATACCCCCAAACCAAGCTGTGTCATGCTTGTTCTCAGAGAGATGTAGAAAGATGGACAGTGCCTCCATGGTCACCCCAATGCCTGTCATCATCCCCACACACCTGCACACCCCACTCCTTCCCCTCCAGGCTCCACGGATTTGCAGTCTTATTATTGTAAATATTGTTGTACAGTTTGTAATCATCAAATAATCCCGTTGTCAAAGGCCTCGCCTGCTGCGCCTTCTCGCCCTTGAGAAAGGCCAGGGAATCTACAAGGGGCGGCCTTTCCAGAAGAGCTTCAGGGTGGTGATCTCTGTGTGAGACGCTATGTATATTCCTGTAAGATTGCATTTTTATCTGAGGAATAATGTTATTTAAAAAAGCAAAAACAAAAACAAAAAAATAAGAATTGCAAATAAATTTCTTAACAACGTCTATATTGGTTTATTGTATCTCCCCTCTTCTATATTCCTTCTCTTCTCCTGTTTCCTAGAGGTCACGAAATATACTTACCTCTCAAATTATCATCTTATTCTCCAAAGAGGAGAAGAGTTGGGGAGAACATGGGAAACCAGAATATGGTGGAAATCTCTAACCTTATTTCTGGGTGGATCTCACTATCCACCTCTTCCTTCCAATGAAAAGGTTAACAGAAAAATGTTCAAAGATAGTCAAGAAGACGAAATGGAGGGATTAAGTGGATAATCCACAAAATAGAAGAGGTATCCCCCAAATATTTGGAAAGACACAAAATTGGTTTTGAATGAATGAAAGAAAAAAGGGAGGAGGGAGGGAAGGATGGGGAGAGAAAAAGAGGGAGGGGGTGATGAGATAATATATATTAAAGCACTTTGAAGAGTATAAAAATGTAAGTTCTTTTTTTCTTTTCTTTTTTTTTTTTTTTTTTTTTTTTTTTTGGTTATTAAACTGACTCAGACAAAGCTTCCAGAATAATTCCCTGTGTAAAAATAATTTGCCCCAGAGTATTTGTCTTAGTTGTCTACAGTTATAAGAACAGAAACACATTAGATAATCAGTCCCTTAGGGGAACTATAGGACCTTAGCTTCCTCACTTCTCCACTAGAGCCTTCAGCCCTGCCCACCACCCAGACCCTGGGCTCTGGAGTCTAGGGCTGTATGAGAAGAGAGGAGGGAAAGCAGCAGAGGACCGGCCTCCTTTAAACTGCTGCTCACCCAGCTCCTGGAGCAGGTTGGGGGCGCTCCCCTGGGACCTGCCCACAGGTTTCAACCCATCGCGGACCACAGCCAATTGTGAGAGGTCATTTGTTACCAGTAGTTATTAAAGTGCCAAAGTTTGCAAATCTTACTTGTAATCAGCTATAACACGTTCAAGACCTACCCTAGGATGAAGTTACTCTGTCTTGGGTTTGGCTATGCCTTCCTGAGTGGCAGTAAAAGGAGAGGAGGTACAGCTGGGGGCAGAATTAAACAAAACCAAGGGCTCATGTCACCAAGGGAGTCATCCCTTGTGTGTGTAGGGCCTCACTTTTGCTTTATAATTTGGTGTCAACTGTTTAGGTCTGGCCTGACCTTCACCCCCTCTCCCAACATTAGGTCTGCTTCTGACCATTTCTTCCTTCTTCCCCTCAAGGGGAACATGGTAATTGATCTGATTGGCTTGAGTATTAGATATTAATTGGGCTGCAGTTACTAATAGGCTGAATGACTGCATGGTAAAAAGTCCGTATATAGTGCTAGCTGGTTTGCTCAGTGATTAGAGTGTTGGCCCAAGGACTGAAAAGTACGTAGGTACTTGGTTGCAGGCTCAATCCTCAGTCCCTGTCAGGGTGCATGCAGGAGGCAACCAATCTATGTGTCATTCTCACATCTATGTTTCTCTCTGTGTGTCTCTCCCTTCTACTCTCTCCAATCAATGGAAAAATGTTCTCTGGTGAGGATTAACAACAGAAAGTCAATATACATACATGACACTCTCTTGTACTTCATTTTTCCTGCCTCCGTATAGTAAGCAGAAAAAGGATTCTTTCTCTATATCTCTGCCTCTTTCCTTCTCTCCCTGCTTCCATATGGCTTGCCAGCTCCCTGGGCTCAGAAGTCGCTTCACCTCTTGCTCTTCACAGACACATTTGGAGACAATCAGCCCCAGAATTTTGGCTGTAGGAAGTAGGGGAGTAAAAGACCCTAAACTGACTATAAGCCAAAGTGATGGGCCCCAAACCAACCTTCACAGAGCCCTACGCTGTACATTGTTAGACATTATTCCAGCTAACAATAAAATAGCACTTGTATTTCCAATTGGCTACAATTGCATTTATACAATTTCCTGGGGAATCCTATAGGGAGGAGAGGCAGAGCAGGACTTGCACTCTTGAATAGCTTAAATAGCATCAAAATCCCATATTACCCCATTGAATAGGTTGGCCATTTAGCCCAGGTGCTTCAATGAGGCCTCTCACATACAGCTCCACTGGCCAGACAGTGCTCATCTCAGTAGCCCTTGCAGACCAGCTCCAGGCCGCTGATACCCTCCAGCAAGTTCCCCACTGCCCCGCAGGCCATGTTTATGGACCAGCTCTGGCCCATGCCCTCTGGCAAGTTTCCTTAGCAGCGGCAGGCACACAGCAATGCCTGCTCCTGTGGCAGCCAGGCCTCTCCAAGGAAGTCTGAGTCAGCCTTGAGGTGAGTGATGGGGGGAGCTTTTCTAAGTTCCAAGTTCCTAATTTCCTCTTCCTGGGCCCTAGAAGTAGCAACTGCTTTTTTACTTACTACTTCTAGTTTGTTAGTCACCGTTTACTAGTATAAGTTACAACTCTTTAAATTTTTTTCTGTTCAAATTACTGGTGTGGTGTCTGCCTCCTGATTGGACCCTGATATAGAACTGGTACTGGGAGTAGTCTGAAGAGACAGACACTCAGAGGTGGGATTTGAGAGTGGATTTGGCCTTGTGTCTGGGTCTGAGGGCAGAGCAGAGCTCCTTGCCAATAGGGAATTTAATGCCAACTATCCATAATATACAGTGAAGTGCTAATTAATTAAAGTCTTAATTATGGTTGGTTGTGATGAAGTGCTAATTAAAACAAATGCCTTGGGAGCCCAAGTGGCTGCTGTACATGGTTGTCATTAACTTTCCTGAGTACATTGCAGCCACTAACAGAAAGAAAGACAAGCTCAAGATTATAGTCTGAGAATCAGAGAGCTTCTGTGGAAGTCCTATGATAAGCTCTTATTTCTTGTAACCACAGGGCTAATATTTCTGACCATTAAATACAAAATTTAGCCCTGACCGGTTTGGCTCAGTGGATAGAGCGTCAGCCTGCGGACTCAAGGGTCCTGGGTTCGATTCCGGTCAGGGGCATGTATGTTGGTTGCGGGCACATCCCCAGTGGGGGGCGTGCAGGAGGCAGCTGATCAATGTTTCTCTCTCATCTGTGTTTCTAACTCTCTCTCCCTCTCCCTTCCTCTCTGTAAAAAATCAATAAAATATATTTTAAAAAAATATACAAAATTTAACTGAACAAGTGGCTGAATTACAACAGTAGTTGAATTCACAGTCTTTACAAATTTTATGTGAAAATTATGACATTGATTGAAAAATAATGGCATTTTGAAATGTGGAATAGAGAAATCTGATAGAATTCCAATGAAATTGAGAATCTGACACCTATGAGCCACTCTGAGCATCCCTTAACAATGGAAGTAGGTCAGTACTAGAATGACTAGCCTTCTTTTTGCTGGAAAACCCTGCATAACTTCACCTTGGGCAGATGCCTGAAAGAGATGCACATCTTCCTCAAGACCCACTATTATCACCTCTTGTTGCCCCTAGACCCACGCCTTGCTCAACTACCGCATGTTTCAGGGACTCATATACACATGTCAATGTAAGAATGTCCAAATGTGTAGAAAATTTTTATGAGTTTATTAGAGTTTAGTTGAGCCAAACAGAAGACATGCCTCGCAGCAAGATCCCAACAGACAGGAAATGCTTCCCTGATGACAGTTTGCAGTTTCTTGTACATTTGGAATTAAGGAAAGAACCTGAGGAACATCACGTGAACAAGGGATAAAGCAAGGCAGGGAAATCTCTATGATTGGATCACAAGATAGTTAATAAGATTATGTGCTCTCTTGAGGGTGGTTATGCTTCTGGGGGGGGGGGGTTGAAAAAAAAAAGCATTTCTTGTTTCTTTTCTTCTTTTTTAGTATCTTCAATTTTCTTTTAATTTTTTATTTTTTTTATCACTATTTATCATCCCCTATACCCTCTTCCACTTCCACTTACTCCCCTGTCCCCCCGCCCCTGCCTCCCAATCACCATGCTATTGTCCACATCAATGAGTTATTTTTCTTTTCATTTTTAGCTTTTTTGCTCCATCACCCCTCCCAGGTCACCCTCTCCCCTCCCACCGTCACCACCACCACAGCTGTCAGCCTGTTCTCTCTGTGACAGCATGGGAGGACCTGGAGGACATTATGCTCAGTGAAATAAGCCAGTCAGAGAAAGACAAGTACCATATGATTTCATTCATATGTGGAATCTAATGAACAACTGAGCAAGCAAAATAGAGACAGACTCAAGTTATGCAGATAGAGAGAAAAAGGTATTTCAATGGTGTGTTAACAGAAACAACGGACAAGCACTGATTAGACCAGGGATGGGCAAACTTTTTGACTTGAGGGCCACAATGGGTTCTTAAACTGGACTGGAGGGCCGGAACAAAAGCATGGATGGAGTGTTTGTGTGAACTAATATAAATTCAAAGTAAACATCATTACATAAAAGGGTACGGTCTTTTTTTTTTTAGTTTTATTCATTTCAAACGGCCGGATCCGGCCCATGGGCCGTAGTTTGCCCACGGCTGGATTAGACCTTTCACTCAAGAGGCCATAGACCTGGCGCCCCACCACCCACCATGACCTTCCCAGATAGGACTTTGTGGTTAGATCAGCCTGAGGGGTTATTTACTTGACTTTATTACAGATTACAGAGACCTGTTTTTATCTACAACAGTATGACCCAGAAGGAAACAGCTTACACACTAAAAGAATTGCAAGACTTTTTCTAATATATATGTTGGCAAAAACTTGGAGTATGTGTGTGATAATATATTCTAAGGGAGTTAGATCAAGGAGGGTGGAATATAGCACTATATCAGGCCAAATTAATTTATATGTGTGTCCTTCCTAGAGATTCCAGATTTCACTTTTTAAGTTATGCAGATGAAAGTGGCTCTAAGATATTACTTAGTTGATTGGCATTTGTATTCAATATGCCTTCTGCTTAGTGAGGGTGAAATTCCATAGTTTCCATGGCCTGATGTAGAAGAAGGAATCCAAAGGTTTAGGAAGATAAGAATATTTCTGTGGATTTATCATGTGTAATATGCACACCCATGCCCCAACCACATCTTCTGGTTCAGAAAACACCTCTTATCACTAAGATTTTTAGAAGT